TTTTTACAAAGCATGGCAAAATGAAGAGAATATTGACAGGTGAAGAGTTTGCACAATGGAAAACCACCCTAACCATCTCATGACTTTATTGGGATCATAGGTGGGTAAATGCTTCTTAAGTGTGATTTTTGTCACACAAGAGTCATCTGAAACAATTCTTGAGGTGTTGGGAGGTTGGGGTGAGGAGTAGAGGAAAGAAATCAGCACTCAAAAACAATGGTTGAAAATGACTTAAAAGCTAAACATAATATACATATAGTAACTCCTTATCCTAGTACAAAAATAGTGCCAGAAACTATGTATTTGTTCAAATATATTGAAAAGGTATAAGAATACAAATAGATATTAACAGTGACTGGTGATGATTCATAAGGTTTTCTTTTCTTAAATTGTAATAGAAATTTATATTTTAAACTATTTACAGTGCTTTTTTCAAGAACATTCATTAAGACATGTTTACACAGGCTTTTGGTAAGTCTGTGGGAGGGCTCATGAACTTTAATCCTTTCAACTTTGCCCTGTGGTAGAGCATAAAACCCAAAAAACAAAACAAAACAAAGCAAAAACAAACCCACTGCCATTGAGTTGATTCTGACTTACCCTGTACAGGGTTTCCGAGGCTGTAAATTTTGACAGGAGCAAAACCCCTCATCCTTCTCCAGGGAGCGACTGGTAGGTTTGAATACCTGACATTGTAGTTAGTGGTCCAATACTTATTCTACAATGTCACCAGGGCTCCTAAGGTAGAGCATTTGTTGTTGTTGTTATGTGCCGTGCATAAGAATTCCTAAATGGTATATAATCTTACAGTCTAAAAGAACTTTGAAAAATCTGGCTGGCCTATGGAAAAATAACCAGTATTTAGGATATATATGACTCCTGACATAGATAGACGTTCTTTTAGCTATCAATAGGTTAAGTGATTCATACAAGATGTTTATCGAGAGATGCTTCATATCTTTAGATAAAGAAGTTTTTTGGAAAACTGCCCATTACATGCTGTGGTTGGAAACAACTGCGATATAACATAGCCTACATTTTCACATTCAGTTAGCAGAGTCAGAAGTTGACAAGTCTTATCTGGCACATTCCACATAGACTATGAACTCTACCTCCAAGATTGAGCACAGAGCTCAACCTGTAGCTGGAACTCCATACAGGTGGATCAAGGAATGGCTAGTACTAGGCAATGGAATCGTGCCACCTTATTTGAACTACAATTGTTCACAGGATAGGATGGCAAAGACATCTTTTCCCTCTCAACTAAAATCAATCTTGGAACAAACAAAAACAAACAGCATTGCTTGGGATGGTCTGTGAAGTTTTAAGAATACAATCTGGTGGAAAGCACAGAAAAATTGAAAAACCAAAACTGAGCAGGTCTGGTATTTGTGCCTGCATTGAAAGTAACGGCATTTCTCTACCAGACAACACTATCTGTGAAAAAGTTTCCTCACAGAATCCAGTCTATTTTCTTACACTTTCTCATCTCTAATACTCCTATCGAAGAAAACTATTCATGAGGTGAGGTGCTCTCCTGCTCATTGTTGTTGTTGTTAAGTGCCATTGAGTCGGTTCCAACCCTGTACAGGGTTTCTGAGAGTGTAAATCTTTACAGGAGTAGAAAGCCTCATCTTTCTCCTGCGGAGCGGCTGGTAGTTTCGAACCACTGACCTTAAGGTTTGCAGTCCGATTCGTAACCACTATGCTACCAGAGCTCCTTCTCCTCCTGCTCATTAGTGACCCGGATATGAAGTTGAGTAAATCAGTGTATTGGTTTGTGTTCAAGGTCTTGGAAACTCAATACAATAAATGACATGTAGGATTTGAGATCACCATGCTCTGTAGCCAGGCCTCCCACTGTGAAGAGTGGTCTTTGGGCCTGGTTGTTACACAGTAGCTGCCATCTGTGACATCCTCCTTGAAGAAAAGGGTTTGTCCAACATTAGTCCTGTCTTAACACAACTTTTCCAGGCACACACAGGTTAAGTGATTTATACAAGTTCATACAGAGAAGCAAGGGCTGAGGCTTTGAAAAATATAAGGCCAGACAGCTTTAACCATTTAGTAAAAGAGTAGGGACAGTTTTTGGATGAAATTAAATGGTGTCATATTACTCAGCTATAACTACAGCAGACAAACAAAACTAAACTTTTTACCTAGAGCAAGAAAATGTCTTTACTAGTTACGGGTAACTTGGGATAGGATGAGGGAGGACTGAATATATATACCTATTTCCAACTTGAGAAGATACTAGAACAGGAAATATTCACAGAACAAAAATTTTCATTTGTGCCCATGTATTAATCCATGTATGGAATGGTTTTCCTAACAATTAAAAATTATTTGAACCAATTAACCTATTCTGAAGAAGTACTCTTCAATTTTTTAAATGTCAAAATAGTAAACTATTATCCAAAGGCAAACCAAACTATTGGTAATCTAAATATATCTTTCTTGTTTAAATGGTAAATATAAAAATCCTCCACACACAATCAACTATGTCTTTAAATGAATTATCAGTGACATATATGGAGGAGTGCTCTTGAGTTGGTTCCGGCTTACAGTGACTCTGTATAGCATTACCCAGACTGTCAATCTTTGTAGGAGGCTTGTATTTCTCTTGAGGAACGGTTGGTTGGTGGGCTTGAACTACCGACTGTGTGGTTACGAATTCAGTGCTTATCCTGAAGTGTCACCAAGCTCCCCAACATATAGTGTTGTAAGTGCTGTAGTTTCGGTTCTAACTCATAGTGGCCCTGTACAGGGTTTCTGAGGGTTTTTAAATCTTTGCAGGAACAGAAGGCCTCATTTTTCTCCCAAAGAGTGACTGGTGGCCTCTAACTGCTGAGTCATTACACTCCCTAAAAGAAACTACGTAAGTATATGACTATAGATTTTATCATGATTGCTAAATCACAATGTGTGTGATAAAAAGAGCTTATTAAAGACCACTATTCTTCATAGTTTTTTTATACTAAAAGAAGAAAATTATGTATGCATGCATAGGTGTATACCACCAGTATGTAAATACTATGATTTTAGTGACAATTTGTGTAAATTACACACTAGTGCCACCAAGTGGCAACCTGATAGATTTTATCTGTATGACATAAAAAATAACATCTTGAAAATACAAATATTATAATGATAACACATAAATGTTAAACAGTTGATAACATGCTAAACTAGACTTTACTATTGCAAAGTGATAACAATAGAATTTGTTTTGCTTTTTTTCCCTCTGAATGAGAATGAAGCCACATTATGTCAAGGTATATATACACACAGTATGAAACTCAGAATTGCAAAACTTAAAGAACACATTGAATCTTACTGCAACTTCAGGGAAGGTAAGATTTCAATGGAAAACAATGTGTCTTAGTGAAAGGTCTTTGAGAATGCTGCATTACCACATTCCTAAAATATTTTCTATCCAAATTAGTGATAAAAGGTACAATTTTTTTCTTTGGTAGGGTAACAAATCAAGCAATATCTTACTTCCCATTGTTCCCAGATCCAAATGTTTCTAGATATTTGAAACATACTTTCCTTCCTGAGTCAGTCACTCAATTCGTTAGTTACCTTTCCAATATTGAGTAAGGATGCATTTAGGGCAGACATGTATAATGGAAATCCACTTAAAGAGGCTCAAATTGCACAGATAATGTTAACTATGCTAAAAAGGATGGGAAAGAAACATCACCAACTATAAGTTAAGGGTCAGTGTTCAATGTCACTCCTAAACCTCTGTGATTCTAAGCTGACTTGTCCTGGAAACCAAGATAATGGCAGTTTCTTAATCACAAACCTCCATACTGCTACGTTTTATTCAGGCTCAAGTTTTCTCACCTTAGTGTTTATACGAGTTCATTTTGACCCTAGCATTGAAGATAGTTTCTGCTGTTTCTATGGTTAACACTTCTCTATACTTGACTTGACAGAAAAATAGATTTTATTTGGACTCATTTCCTATCTATAGCCAGATCTCAGTTTAGGTCAGTGCTCCAAATATAATTTTTTTTCCCCTCAATTTCCTCTGGAGATTCAAGCTGTTGACTTGAAAGCCATAAGGAGATGAGAAAGTTGTTTTAAAAAGGAAGTTCAGTATTCAAACACACACTAACTCTCAGAAGGGTCTTCCGACAACATGTTTCCCTTCCTGACAGAATTAAACTTGGGTCTGTTCCATTTCTGGATCATGTTCACCTTCAATAACGCCAGTGACTGAATCTTCTAGGGTTTCCTCTGCTTTACAACAGATAGGTTAAATTGAAGGGATTTTATGAATAGCTTTGAACAGATACACTGCAGAAAAATGACAAACATCTTCCCTTCTACTCTCTACCTAAAATAGCAAATTAATGAGCCTTTTCATGGTAATACTGACTCATGTTGTTAAGTGCTGTCGAGTTGGTCCCAACTCATAGAGGACTTGTATAGGTTTCCAAGTAGTGGCTGGTGAGTTTGAGCCACTTGTTAAGGTAGTACACATTGTTGACAAACATACCTTTTTCCCTCTTAGAACTCACCCAGTCTACATTTTTCTCTGTCCGGTAAAAAGGTTTCAGCTGTCATAGAATATATCCAATTTGGTCCTAGCCTATTTTTGAGAAAGAAAACATTCCAACCATTCTTGAAAGATTTGTAATTCAAAAACACAAAAACCAATTATTTAAAATCTCCAGGAAAATAACATCCTCAGTGCAAGAATGCCATTTGCACTTTGTAGTACACAAAATACCACAAACAGCACTCTTATCGTGTGCAAAAGAGTGAGTGTTGTTGATCATCTTGGTGTGTGGCAAAAACCAGATAAACAGAAAATATGTCCCCTGAAACATTTCATACTTTGCTCTCAAAAGTTGTGCAAAAATTATAAAATACAGCAGTGAGTGGCAGAGTCTACACCAAATTCTGTGCAGTGTATAACAAAACTAGGGCTTACTGCAGAATACACCATATCTCTGTAAACGTCCACTCTGTGTGAAAGGGACCACTCAGTTACGCTTAGCCTGGCTGCTTTCTCCATTAATCAGTGTCTTCTCCTGCTGTTCTGCAAGGGCCTGCCATTTCTGTCTGTTCTTTCTGCAGCCATCCAGCAAAGGGAAACAGTCTGTTGATACATGGGTCAGGGCCTGAAGAAAGAAAAAGAAAGCAAATGACTAGAAGGTAGCCAGGAAACACAGCTCTCTCCCACAGGCCTATCACAAAGGGCAACATGCCATACTCATTTCATGAAGAGGCCCACTGTTGGGGTTTTCACAAGGAGATCAAAGTTATATAGAGAAGGACTGCGTGCTAAGAGGGAGCACAAATGTACACATTCCACAGTAACCTTATTGAGCTATGGAAACAGATCCGTGTGTAATCCACAGAACAATACATTTTGTTTCTATGTGGTATAGTTGGCTCTCTCTAAGTGTGTGCATGCTTTCGGAACAGTTTAGTTTTTCTCTTGAACGGTTTTATATAATGCACATATGCAGATTTCCATCAAAGGGTGTAATAGAGATTAACTTATGATTCTGTGTAGTATTGCTATTTATCAACTCAAGTACCATTCATTTATTTAGCTACGAGAATGTCCATTCAAGTTTCTTTGTAACAGAAGAACAATGAATATTGTTCAAGTCTCCATTGAAAGACTTAGATATATCATGTTACTATTTTGCAGCCATTAAAGATGTAGTCAGATAAATCTATTTTCAGAGAGATGTACACAATGAATTATGGATTGCAAAAAGCAATTTTTTTTTTAATTAAAAAAAAAGTGAAAACCATGTGAATGTTATACACTAATATGCTAACCAAAGTTATCTTTGGGTAGTGGAGCATCAAGTGATTTTTATCTTCCTTTTTTGCTTTTCTAGTTTCTAATTTTTCTACAATGAAAATGTATTGGTTCTATAATGAATAATACTCCACATATCTGTCAGTTTGTTGCTGAGATGCTGGAAATGATGCCATGGGTTTTTCAAATACCAGCAGGCTCAGACTAGAAATACCAGCAGACTCAGACTAGAAAGGAGGAACAGGCAATTCACTTCTTAGGGGTTGGCCCTTAAAAACCTTTTGAATAGCAGTGAAACACAGTGTGACATAGTGGAAGAAGAGCCCCTCAGGCTGCACAGCACTCAAATACAACTGGGGAAGAACTGCTTCCTTAAAGCAGAGTTGACCTTAATTGAACAGCACAAAGCTCTTAAGACTTTCATTTGCTGATGTGGCACGCCTCAAAATGAGAAGAAACAGCTGTCAACAACCATTAATAATCAGAATTTGAAATATAAAAAGTAAGAATCTAGGAAAATTTGAAGTAATAAAAAATGAAATGGAACAGGTAAGATCAGCATGCTGAAATGAACACGTATTGGCCATTTTTAATCTGACAATCAATCATATGGTTTACTGTGGTTGGAATAACAAATTCAAGAGGAAAGCTGTTACATTCATCTTTAAAAAGAACATTAAAAAAAAAAAGAACATTTTTAGATCTACCTTGAAAAACAATGCTGGGTTAGGATAATAGCTACACACCTAAAAAGAACAGTAGTTAATATAACTGCGATTCAAATTTATGTACCAACCACCAAAACCAGTGATGAAGAAACTGAACTACCATCTTCTTCAGTGTGAAACTGATCAAACATGTAATCAAGATGACCGGTTACTGTAAAGTGAAAGTGTTGGAAAGTATGGCCTTTGTGATAGAAACGATGCTAGAGACTCATGATAGAATTCTGGAAGACAAACAGCTTATGAATTGCAAATGTCTTTTTTTCTTTTAGCACATAAACTATACATGTGAACCTTGCCAGATGGAATACACAGGAATCAAACTGACTACATCTGTGGGAAGAGAGGATGTGAGAAGCTCAATATCATTACATTAACTGATCATATGCAAGTTCAGGTTAAAGCTGAAGAAAATTAAAATAAGTCCACAAGAGTCAAAATAGGGCCTTGAATATATCCCACCTGGATATAGACATCTCAGGAACAAATTTGACTCAATGGATACTAATGACTTAAGAGCAAAACAGTTGTGGTACAACATCAAGAACATTACACATGAAGAAAACTAAAGGTCATGAAAAATCAACAACAACAGCAAAGAAAAACATGAAAGAAAAGACCAAAGTGGATGTCAAGAAAGAAAAGACTGAAACTTGCTGAATGTAGAGCAAGTAGCTAGGGCAAATGGAAGTAATAATGAAGTAGAACCAACAGAAAATATCAAAGAGTAGTTTGAGAAGATAAAATCAAGTACTATATTAATGAAATATGCAGGAAAATATCAAAGAGTAGTTTGAGAAGATAAAATCAAGTACTATATTAAATGAAATATGCAAAGACCTAGAGATAGAAGACAGAGGGTAAGACCACACTTAGCATTTCTCAGACTCAAAGAACTGAAGTAAAACTTCTAGTCTTACAGTATTGAAGGATTTTATAGGCAAAATGGCGGATCGGGTAGACCTGTAGTGAGGAACTCTGTCACCAACAACACAGAATACTGGGCCAAACAGGCTCAGGGGATGGTGCTAGAACTCTGAACCACATATAAAGGAATATTTAGAAGATTGGAAGGCTTACAGCTAGGGGATTTTGTAGCAGAATCAAGAAATCCATTGCTTTCTAATTCAAGATGCTCAGCTATTCCCAGAGTTGCCATCTTGGGAAGAGACTAAGCTTGGGAAGGATCAGAACAACCACAAACGCCTGACAGAACCATGGAGATACAGGTGTGGACATTCTTTCTTTGGTATCTGTTCATTGGTCTCTTGCTGTCTGTGCACCTCCATTCTGGTGACTAGAGAGGATGCCTGAGTGAATGGACAACCCACCCCCAAGCCTGGAGGACTCTACTACGCATGCACACAGATCTCCTCGAAATTTAAAGTTATAGTTTCCACTTAAAACCAAACGGCAACCACTCGTCTGTCAATTTGTTGTACTGTGGTGGCTTGTGAGTTGTTATGATTCTGAAAGCTATGACACTGGTATTTTAAATTCCAGCAGGGTCACCCATGGTGGACAGGTTTCAGACAAAGACAGATTCCAGACAAAGACAGATTAGGAAGAAAGAGTGACAAACTACTTCCGAATATTTAGTCACTGAAAACCTAATGAATAGCAGAGAAACACTGTCAGATA